GCAATAGTGGCTGGTCTGAGATAATTTTACACAGGGCAGGAGATCTAATATGATACGATACTATATACTTTATTGTACCCTTAGGGAAATTTACTGAAGAATAAATTCTCATAAGGGTACAATAAAATAGTCATAGTGTATCACATCAAGGTGTGTATTTCAGCTTCAACTGATCATTAAATCTAATGATTAGATTTTTATTTGCAGATCTTATTAAAATACTGTGACTTGATGTCAATAGCAGGTCAAATGGAAACGCCTTTTCCCCCCATTCTCCTTGGTCCCCTCTGTGTCTCGCTGGTGTTTCACAGGTCAGCTATGTCCTGTATGCACAGGTAGATTTTCCAGATGCAGTGCTTTCATTCACCTTTATGTTTTCACACTGCTGTGTGTTTGCTAATAGACTTTCGCTGCCCCGGTGGCTGCCAGGGGCCCCTCGGAGCAGAGCCAAGAAACTGTCTGGCTACTCAGTGTAAACTATGTGTTTACAGCAGGGCCAGGGTCACAGTGGGCATGCTCGGCTCAGTGCATCTCACCTGCTTGTGATGATAAAGGAGCTGATGTTTGGTGTAGAAAGACAGCTAGTTCTAAATATACTGTTACTTTTCTCTTGCTGAGGAGGAGAAGAAATGCATGCTGTAGATATCTACGATTCGTTCAGCACGAGTCCGCCGTGGATTTGTAAATATTTTAAAGGTTGGGCTCGAGCAGGCAGTCCAAAATGAAAAGGGCGAGTAGCTTTCGAGCAGCCGACATCTCTGCCCTCCTCACAGTTTCCTTTGAACTCAGTGCATACTGTGTACTCAAACATTTATAGACTTTATTATGTGGTCATGCATTTATGTATGTTTCCTCTACCATGCTTTGATGGAACGCTTCCCTCGTAACGTGCCCTTAATGGTTTGTTTGATCAGGACGCGGGCAGATTTTCCAGAACACAGGTGCTTGTGTTCCACGACTCAAACACAATGTTACATAATACAAAACAGCTGCGTATTTGTGAGTTCAAAGGTACCTGAGAGACGTACCGTAGCTCGTCCTCCGTGTCATCACTGCTAATCTGCCTGTTTAACCTTTCGTCGCAATTTATTTCGCGTCCTTCCTTCACTTCTTCCTCTCTTTACCCTTTTTCCTCCCGCTCTCACTCGGCGGCGGGGCAGGGGGGGGCAAAATGACATGCTCTAAATAACTTTATTGACATTTGAATTGGTTGTGGACTGTGGTAATTATCCAGCCTTCCTGCTTCCTGGCTGGCATTCAGTGAGAGGAGAGCATCAGTGAAGCCACATATCAAGCCAGGCCACAGGCAGAGATATTTGTCTCAAGTATAAACATATACTGCTGGGCTCTTATATTCTTATTCGCACCATCATAGAGAACAGCAGTGATTCAAGCATATGCACCTTGGACAAGCTTTATTGTTGGGTCTGTGGAGCACTCACGAATAAAGCACCTTATTGTGGTTTCTTCCCCTATACAGGGAGAGGAGTGTAGCACGACTACGTGAAGTATTTTAGTGAGTTTCTTTAAGGCTGAGTGGCCATGAATCATCGCACTAGAATGTTTGTTCATTCTTATCCTCCAAGAAATCTCCATGACTACGCTCCTGTATGGTCAGCACAGTCATGAAACACTGGCAAGTTAGGGCTGCAGTAACACACGTTTCCTTGTAGTATTTTTTCTTTTACATTATCTTTGTTTTAAACTACACAACAGTCTCCCAAACAGGGCTGGGGATCAGCTTTCCTTCTAAAGGGGTATTTTATCTACTGCTTTCTCATCTTATCACAATGTGCCCATAACATTCAAAATGTTTATGATTTTGGGCATCGCCATCTTGTTAACTTTGGAGCCAAAGAGGATTACATCCGAACTAGAGCCTAGGTATTTGGGGATTTGAAAAATCTGATATATCAGCCGATATATTTTTTTCTTTTCCCTTGCACTTGTTTTTTGTGGTCATTTATAAGTCCTTACTAAGATAATGTGGCAGTGCAGCTAAGAATAAATGTGTTGCAGGTTACTTTTGTTCAGTCTGCTTAGCCTTCTCCATACCGCACCTCAATTCTTAATTAACCTGTTAGCAGTCGGACGTACCGCCCACGGTACATTGGATGGTTTAGGGTGATTTGGTTTAAATTTGTAGGACTGCTAAGGGGTTAAGCCATTTGCCTTTATCTGCTAAAAACTGAAATATGAAATTATATTCATTTTCAAATAATTATATTTGGTGATACCAGTATATCGACAGTTCTGTAATATCAGCTGATAATATCGGCCAAGACAAGAGAATATGTTTTGCAAGGTGCGTCTATACCCATCTTCTAATCAGCATTTAGTATTATATGAATAAATATCTACTCGCCAAAATTGGAGCACAGGCTTCTTGACGAGGTTGCTAGGGCAACTGAATGCACTGATAGATACATTTGTCGTGTAATTCCATTAAAAAGACTAAACAGCACCGCAAACATGGTGAGAATGGTCTGGTACTGACTCAATATAGTGGAGGTGCATCCGCCTGTCACCTAAAGCAAACATGCAACTAACTGATAACTGTAAACTTTGATACATTTTAAACAGGTGATTATCACGTCAGCCAGCCTTGAATGGTCAGTTTTCCACCCACTTGAATACAGGTTGGCACAGTACAGCTAATAAGGATTTATCAGCTTCACCTCAGATAATACAAAACTCTCAAAACAAACCCTTAAATTCAAAAAGAAATATAAAATTGTAAAAGAGCAATGCGTTTGGAATCCCTCTTATAGAAAATGCATGCTTGGGTTTTGCCATCAGTTTAACTGAGTTACAAGTGTGCCAGTGTTATAGGTTTTCTGTGGTTAATGAACTTGGACAACAAGGCAGCGCTTGAAGTACATTTAAAAAGCTTTTATGTTGTTCAGTTGTAAATAAAAAGATAGTTTTTGTTAGTGAGCTTTACTTTTGGTAGGTGGATGCATTGCACTGGTTGTTGTTCCTTCCTGTTTCCTTTGCTTCTGTATGCCAAGCTTTGCTGACCAGCTGCGTGCATGTAAACGTTACCTCTTCACATTTTAGTCTCCAAAATTCATTTATTCATTGGAGGCCGGTCCCCCTGTCGTTTTGGCAAACAATAGATTCAGCACCTGACTTTACGCCGCTGTTGATAAAGTAGCTGCTTAATGTGTCGGCGTGAATGATATTTTTTTGTGTCGCAGAGCTGCCGAGCAGCGTTGGGGGTAAATAGACACTGCTTTCCGCCTTCATCATTTCATTTTTTTCCTTCGTGTGGAGCGAGAGCTGTGTCCCTGAAGCGAGGCTATCCAGAAGGAGAGAGCGATACAATCAAGAGACAGCGGTTGGCCTTTACTGGCAGAGTCTCAATGACCGCTCGGGAGTGAGGCCGAGAGTAAAAGAGAGGCAGAGAGTGAGGAAGCAAAGACTGAAGAATGTTAAAGGAGGAATAACTTACTGCTTATGTTAACTTTAGATGCTGAACGTAGTCGTCTAATGCGAAAACACAAGCCGAATGTCTTTTTAAAAAGCAATATTCTTGTATTTTGGGCAGTTTTGATGCAGGATTCACTCTCAAACTTTTCTGCTTGCTGCAGTCAAACTTGGCCACCCATCTGCACGAGGCTGCCTGTCAAATGTTCGCAGGGGAGATTGAGGATGGGGATAGATTTTAGAAAGACAGAACAAGAAAGATAAAGAAGGAGAGGAAATTGGTGTGGGGGGGGGTTTAGTGGATGAGAGTGTTTCTGGGCTCCATGTTGGGTTAGTTAATGACTGGTGCATATGTCAGCCACGCAGCTGTGGAGCTACAATCAGCCAGCCAGCTGAGGAAGGGAGTGACGGATGGACTGGAGAGAGAAAAAGAGAGATGCAGACAGATAGAAAGTATTAAGCCGTGAATGCGCGCGCACACACACACACACACACACAAAACTAGAGAAAACAGTTCTGAGGGAGAGCAGTGAAGCAGAGGAGGTGAGATAGAGGATTTTGAGTGAAATAAACAGAGAGAGCCATCCAGAGGGAATAGAGAGCGAAGGAGAGAAAGAGAAGTTGCCAAGATAGTTTCCATTCTTATCCTCCCTCAACTAGCTGAAGTAGAAATGGCAGAGGCTGCAGTCCAAATCATTACACTCAGCTGCCTTCCTGGAAAGTATTTACTATTGTCAATAACAAAAAAAAGACCAAAGAGAAGGCAGAGTGTATAAAAGAAGAAAGTTTCATGGCTCTCTTTGCATTCTTTATAGATATTTACATATTTTCTATAAGCAGCATCTTCTCAGGAATTCTTTTCACCTCTGCTTCCTTTGACCCCCGTTCCCCCTCTTATTTTTACCGCGGCCATCCAGCCTGTCCTTCTCCATCCTGGCCCATGTTCCATCAGCTCTTGGATTTAAGCCTTTAAGAGCCTCTTTTCCCTCCAGTAAGAGCTTTAAGGCAGAATGTGTGTGGAATGCAGTTTTTTTAAGAGAGGGAAGGATCAGAGCTGGACAGAAATAGGTACAGGGTGAGAACAGGAGCGGATGCTTCAGTAGAAAGTCTTTGACCTTGAGTTGTCCCCACCTTCTCGCTGCCCCACAAAACACCCTGGGTAACTCTGACGAGGGTCTTTTTGTGAGGCAAGGACACTGGTTTATTGTGCCTATGTTATTACTCACAAATGGTGTTTGTAGTATTAGCTGCACAGGTGTAAAGCCTGGGCGGATTATCACTGACTGGGCTGCTGTGGAGTGAGACATCTGTGGAAATGCGTTATGGGTTAATGTGCAGTGCACCCGTCAAAGACTGTGACACTGAATTCTGGTCATTTTGCATGCCTGCAGCTCGATTCTTTCTGCATCCATGCTAATTAATCATTGAGAACAGTGAAATGCATGCATAGCTTGATGCGTAGTGTCAAATCGCTGCAGGTTGCTGGTTATGCATAAGGTGTGTGTGTGTGTGTGTGTGTGTGTGTAACCCCTCAGCTAACTGTGCTTTTTTTCTTTCTTGTGTTCCTGCAGGCAGACCCGGGAGCAGGAAACGCCGCCAGATTTCTTCTATTTTTCTGACTTTGAAAGACACAATGCTGAAATTGCAGCCTTTCATCTGGACAAGTAGGTGAACACTAGCCTGTCACAATACTCTGAGACTTTTTGAAAACCACCAGTCCCTCATATAAAGCAGAAGATCAAAAGATTTTAGCTTTTCCGTACCTTGCTGCAAAGGACAAGATTATCAGCCGCAGGCGAGCTACACATCACCATAAAGGAGAAGATAGACCTTTTCAATGTAAATGTTTTATTCTGAATTTTATGTGCCTGTATAGGCACAGATCACTGTCACTAGATTGACATGCCCAACCAGTCATTTCAGTTAAAACCTTAAAAAAACAGGCAAGATATCTGGGGGGTTTTTTTAGTGAATAAAACCATAAAGCAATTCAAACAGTGAAATTCCAACTTACCTATTTACTTTTAAAATGTAAAACAATGGCATCTTTTTCTTTTTCCATAACCCAGCTGATGAATTCAGATTGAACCTAAACATGTGTCGATGAGGCAGTCACCTCATCGACAACATCACAACATTTTTGATTTGTAGTTTGTTGGTTTTTGACATTAGAGTTGGTGTGAACTCAAAAGCAGACTGTTTTGTTTTTGCAAAGGCAATTTATTGGGTAACATACAGTCTTGTTTGTGAGCAACGGTACTGTGGCTAGCTTAAAAATTTTGACATGCAAAGCAAATGTAAGGCCTTTAACTTTATTAAAGTGCAGAGGGATTCAGAGTTGCAGATTTTTACTTGTAAAATGTATAAACGTCTTCATTAAAACACATTATAAAAAGCAAAAGGAAACACAATAAAAATACACTTTTATTCAGCTTCCTGGGTCCAACATGTTTGGAACGTGGCTAAAACAAGGAAAGATGCAGCTTGGCACAAACCAGAAGGCAAAAGCTCAATTTAACTGAAACAACGTTAAAGAATTAGCTGTGAAAAGGCCTCTTCCTTCAGGGGCAGCAGTGGGTGTCTGGCCTTGAGCACCATAACACCCAGAAACAGCCCTGTTGCTACAAACACTTCAGACTTAATAAGGAGGGGAGAAAAAAAGCTCATGTTCTTAAATTTACACTAACCTCCCAAGTATTTTTTCCACCCGCGAGGGCCAACATCCTGCGGGGCTTTGTTCCTCCCTGATTGCTATTTCTTTTTTGCCTGTCCTCGTGTCAGCTCATTAACCGCCTGGGAGGAACACCAGATCCGTGTACCGGTGTCTTACAGTAACGCTTTAAGACACGTGTGCTCGTGTGAATATTCTCCATATTTCGTGCGAAGCCTTGCTAATTAATGCGTGAATTCTCTTACATAATTGCTCAATTAGCATAATCTGATTATTACAATATCAAAGGATAGAAAGATCAAAATGTTGCCATTCTACCTGTTTTTAAAGGTTTGAATGAGGAAAAAGAATATAGCCGATTGAAGTCACCCCAAGTATAGCAACACATAGTCTTTACGCCGTGTGGATGAAAACCTTCCATATTCTTCTGCACTTATTTTCACATTTGCTTCCTGTCCCTCAGAAACTCTTTTTTTTTTCCACCCAAACACAGTGAATTGTGCGAGTTTGACCCATCCAGCAGAAGCTGTGAGCTCCGAGAGGCCATGAGTCATAACGGATGAATGCTGAACTCCTGCAGCTAGCATCTGACTGAACAATGACTACAGCCTCCTTACTTAGCTAACAACCAAGCTCTCTGACTTCACTGCCTTTACCAGGCTAGTACTTTACGGCCCACCCGGCTGCTGGAGAGACTTTAATAAAAAGAGAAATCCTCGCGAGGGCCTCTGATCGACGAGCGAGAGCAATGAGTTTTAGTGCGTTGCTGTTAAAGTCGTGCTGACGTCACTGTGGCTGTTTGCTATTACGAGCAGAGGGCTTGTGTTGTAGTCTGAATCCTGGTGCTCCTCTGTGCTGACACGAGATGATACCGAGGTCTTGCGCACCTACACACAAACACACACACGTCTACACACAATAGGGCCATAGAAGGCCGTGATGGTGAATCTGCTTTTCCTTTAGGCACAATGACACAGTTCATCTGGAATTGCATTAGAAGTGGCGTTCTTCACCAGTCTGCTTCACATCTGGTCCTCCTCTCCACATACACACATGAAAATATGCTCCAGCATATGTGTGGGTTAAGGGGAAGAAGAGGAAACCAAAGGCACGAAAGGCCCTGTGCCATTCTAAATATAAGCCAGGCAGGGTTTGCCAAAAGCAGCGCTTAATTTTTTTCCTTATTTTGTCTGTTCTAAATTAGAGCCTGTCCAGAGAGCTGCAGCTGCTGCTGCTGGTGCAGAGGCTGAGGCTACACTGCCTCCCAGGGGGGCCCACAGACACACACACACACGCACAGGCACTTTTAAAGCATCACTAGCACAGCCGCGCACACGCATACACACACCAACATTGACAATGACTTTTCCTATATGGGCTAAACTGCTTTAGGCATCATTAATAATGTGATTGGGTTTAACTGGGAAGTGCTGCATTAGGTAGTCAGCAGATTTAAAGTCATACAAGGCCAAATGTGACCTTAAAATATTAAACCGTATAAGCCCCAATCTCACGAGACCCACTTGAGTCTTATACATTTTCTCAGCTGGGAATATGGGAAGCAGCGATTCCCACTGTTGTTCATTTCATGGCTCTAGCAGGTTCTCTTAAACCCAAACTAAATATAACGCAAGTTTGAAATGGGCACTGTGGGAATTGGGCTTATCAGAGGGGACGAAGATGGAAGAAAATGTGTGTGAGCGATAAAAGAGGCAGAAGCCAGCACTAGCTGTTCCCTTTAGCATGGCAGCAAGCCCAGGCCCAGCAGGCCAAACAGCACCGTACAACACCGCATCCTGTGTCCTTCTGTCTCTTTGACAGAGAGCAGGAAAGAGACTGCACGTGTCTGTGTCACTGCACCCGCCAACACACTTGATAGCATCATTTGTATGATGGGCTTGTTCTCCCATATCGCTGCATCTCTCTTCTCTCATTCCCGCGCCTTCATTTCATTTAATCAGTCTGTCTCCTCGTGTCTCCCTGCCCTCGGGCCTTAGCCATTAGGTGTTGTCAGAGGTATCAATTTTTAAAGAGCCCATGCTGGTGCTCTAGTTGGGTGGCTGCATACATGCAGGAAGACATTCACGCCATATTAAACCTTTCTCAAATGCGCATCTGGGCTGGTTTCCAGTCAAATGATGCAAAAACACAAACCCAGAAATAGATTAGAATGCACTGGAAACTTATATCTCTCAGCATATTAAGGCAATAAAAAGCTGCACTGAAGTTAAAAAATAGCTTAATGTAGGACCACAGCCACATGAAAACCACAGGGAGGTTTACCAGCATGTGGCTTAACTGTCTGGTACTTGTGTCACAGTGCCCCCTTCTGGTAGTGAGGTTCAATCACATAAGGTTTCACTATGACAGCACAGGTATTTCGCTCCAGTGGCATAACGGATGAAGTAGTGATTCCTCTAAGTGAGGGATTGTAAGTTCACCTCCCATTTGGTGTGAAAAAGCTTTTCTGCATTACAAACAGCTGGTCCCTGTTGCTGCTGTTCACACATAGAAGTTCAATACACTGCAGACTTTCAAAGGACAATGAAGGGAGGGGTCATCTGGTATCCTTTGGCAGCCCTATTCTGGCCTGTAGGTTGATGTTTGACAGTAAAAGTTGAACTAACTAAATCACATTTGTGCTTTTAGATTTTACTCAATTATGACTCAGTTGTTGCTTATATTATTATAGTCCATGCATAGAGTGAAACATTAGGTTAAAATAATGACCTCTGTCTTGTTGCAATTACTGCAACTACCAACACTGTTGACGAACGGTCCAGATCCAAATAACCACGGTTAATGCATCTTTTGTTTGGACGCGTGCACTCATCGCTTTCATACTTTTTTGGTGGGCTGCCACTGAAGTCAAATGACCCTGAGTATTTGTCTCCATCCTGTAGGATCCTGGACTTCCGTCGTGTCCCTCCTGTAGCCGGCCGACTAGCTAACATGACAAAAGAGATCCGCGATGTTACACGAGATAAAAAGCTCTGGAGGACCTTCTTCATTTCACCAGGTACACATCTAGACTATTTTTAGCTTCTCTTCCAAAAACCGCTCGTGTCCATGTGCAGTTTCCCAAACGTCTGCTGATGGTCTGAATTGTTGATGTCAGAAGAACACCTTGAAAGATTTTTTAACATCCCCCCTCAAAAATGCAAAAGCACAGCAAAAATCAAGCACCTCCTTGATCATAATGTAGAGCAAGTCTTTTGGCCTGAATTGCTGTGATATTCATTTGCATGGGATTAGTATTATCAGGGGACTTTACCTTGTGCCAAAGCACGACAGTTAATTAGCAATGCAGCTTTACATATTATACACGAGCAAAATTGTCACTGGATTAAAATTACTGACAATCTCAGCAATTAATACAGGTCAGCGAGCATCCCCAGGTAATTTCAATCGGGTGGAAAATGGTCTTTAAATATATGTGGACCGACTGACAAAAAGAGAAGAAGAGTGCAGTGACTCTTTAAGTATTTAGCACTGACTGGCTGATCAGAGTATTAGTATATGAATGTGTTTGCTTTTATTTTTCTGACTTTTAGCCAACAATGTGTGCTTCTATGGAGAGTGTTCCTACTACTGCTCCACTGAGCACGCTCTGTGTGGTAAACCTGACCAGATAGAAGGATCTCTGGCCGCCTTCCTCCCGGACCTGGCCCTTGCCAAACGCAAGACCTGGAGGAACCCATGGAGACGCTCATACCACAAACGGAAGAAGGCAGAGTAAGACGTCGATTCCGTGTTCAGACACTCTCGCATTCGCACGCGTTCAGTAGAAGCAAATACTGAGCGATTCACTGCATCAGGGGGTGTTTATTGAAGTCACTGACAGTTACCAGCAGCATGAATTCGTAAGAGCTGTACAGCATTAATTTCAATCTTATTACGACGCAGGAAAAAAACGCTTAGATCTAAAAGTATATAGCATAAAAGGGAAATGGGTTTAAAAGACATTTTTCCAAATCAGATGCAAAAAAATTAAAAGTATTAAACGTTTCTTCAGATGGGAGGTGGACCCAGACTACTGTGAGGAGGTCAAACAGACTCCACCTTATGACAGCGGCACACGACTGCTGGACATTATGGACATGACCATCTTTGACTTCCTCATGGGTGAGTGTCTGACACAAGACGAGAATCAGTTTTCTACCAACACCGAAAAGTCGGATTGTTTAGTGTTCAGTCGAGCGAACGTTATCATCCACGACTCTACTGCCATCAGTGGTTTTTATTTTTTCGTACTTTTATACAGTATGTAGCCTTATAAGCAGGTATATTACTCATATATCATAACATCCACTAGCTGATTTGTTTTTTGTTTTGCTCTTTCTTAACAGGAAACATGGATCGCCACCATTATGAGACATTTGAAAAGTTTGGAAATGAGACCTTCATCATCCATCTAGACAATGGCAGAGGGTGAGTCAGTGCAGCTTTAGTTTAGAATGGGTGAGTGCCCGCTGCGGGTCAGGGATGAGTTGTTGCTCTAAATAGAGGAGTTTAAGTATCGTGGGGTCTTGTTCATGAAGGAGGGCTTGGCTGCAGTGATGCAGACGCTGCGCTGGTGCATCGTGGTGAAGAGAGAGCAGAGCGTAAAAGCAAAGCTGTCAGTTTATTGGTTAATCTACATTCCTACCCTCACCTATGATCACGAGCTTTGGGTAGTGACCGAAATAATGAGATCACAGATACAAGCGTCATAAATGAGCGTGCTCCAAAGGGCAGCTGAACTCTCCCTTAGAGATAGTTTGAGGTTGTGCAGTCATTTGAGAGGGTCTCACAGTAGGCCGGTCGAGGTGGTTTGGCTATCTAACAATGATGTCTCCTGACTGCCTCTAGAGTGAGGTGTATTGGGCATGTCCTATCGGGAGGACGCCCTGAGCTTCTTTGCTTAAGCTGTGGCCCCCTGCGATCCGGCCCTGAATAAGGAGAAGAAAATGGATGGATGTTTAAAGTCCTTATACTAATTTATGACACCATGATTTCAGTTCTGGACTCTACTAGAGCAGCTTTGCATAATTAACTGTTAGCATCTCTGGAGCTCCACAAACAGCGCTGTATATCTGAGATAAGGAATAAGGGATATCAGCTCTCAATTACATCATAAAAAACAAAAAAATGTAATTTAAAAAAACTGTCGTAAGCTGAAAAAATTTATATCGCTTTGAAGTTTCGTCTCATAAGACTTGATTTCATATTTAAAACTTGCTCGTATATGAAATGTGAGCATCCACCATTGCAACAGTATACACATAAATTAAGGAAAATCGTAACAGGCTATGTTTAATTTTTTCTGGCCATTCAAATTAAACCAAATAAGTGAAACAAAAAATAAATATCAGGAGTTGTGGACATGATGCACAGAAATCTGGAACCACATCCCATTTTGCACACTTATTTATGCTTTTCCATCCTAGCTTTGGAAAACACTCGCATGATGAGCTGTCCATCCTGGTGCCACTGAACCAGTGCTGCAGGTGAGGTCTTCATTTTTGATAGTTCTGGAAGGATAGTGCAATATAGAAGGAAAACAACCTATTTAAAAATTATAATCTGCATGAGGCTAGTAAAGGTGCACATGGGGTGTTGTTGTATTTTGGTGTGAGTGTTGCTGAGCAGAGGCAGAGATGTAAAGCGTGTGGCCGCGCTGACTCTTTTTTCCCCCGGCTGTTCTCTTTCTGCAGGGTAAGGAAGTCTACCCACTTGCGACTGCAGCTGCTGGCTAAGGAAGAATACAAGCTGTCTGTGCTCATGGCAGAGTCCCTGGTGAGGGACCGCCTCTCTCCCATCCTCATCCAGCCACATCTGGACGCCATGGACCGACGACTGCGCCAGGTCAGTGCTTCACACTCATAAAGCAGTTTGCTTGGGATTGTCTATTGAATGTAATAAATTGAAACTATAAACAGTCAGTAAACACATTCATTTGATAATTACTTAATGTTTTTCAGCAGCTAGAAGTGACTGAAGACTTTGATTTCTGGGAGTCATTGACCAGTAGAAAGTGTGTTTGGAGGACAAAAGAGGAACACATTTGCTTAAATGCAGTCTCAAATTCTTAATCCCAGATTTTCCCTCGTTTCTTTTCATTCATAAACAATAAGAGATCACGAACTGGAAGTCTCGGCTCTTTGACGAGTCATCAGCAGTACCACAGAGGTCTGAGAGTGGTGTCACTGTGCTCTTGTTCTTGGAAAAGCTAGTCAGTACGTAGTGGTTACAAAAAAGCTCACCGTGTACTAAAAGCTTGGCGTTTTCTCGTCACCAGGTTCTAAATGTGCTGTCAGATTGCATCGAAAAGGAGGGATACAGCTACGTGGTGGAGGACGACCTCCAGGGATACCAAGGGACAGACCACGCCCACAACGGCCCGAGAAGGAGGTAGCTGCCGCGGGGGGCGCTTGGCGGCAGGACTTGGACTGACTACCTGGAGATTTGAGGCTGGACGGACCAAACCCAGTCTACCTTTAAACTGAACTGGAATCCTGTAACGCAGATGAACTCCATCTGTGCTTAATTTCTCCGAGGGCTTAAATTCTGCTGAACTTACAGGAAAGCCCACCTGCCCGAGGTAATAGGCTGCGCAGAAGAGGACGCCTGCTGGATAGCACTGAAAAAAAGAACAGTGCAATAACTTGTAACTGTACTGATGCCCGAGACATGCTGAAGATTTCTGGACCGATCCGGGGCTTAGCAGAACCGAACCCACCACCTAGACTCCTTTGAAAAATCCAACCCTGAGTTTAGTGTACCACCACAGCCGACCCCGCCGACCAACCAAACCGCTAAAGTCTTGCAAAGGACGCCTTCTCTCGCCTTTCTGGTTCAGGACCCGTTTTTTTGAATTCAGTGAATTCCGAGGGACTCGTAAAAGAATCCGGCCCCCTCCTCTTCACATGCTGAATTGTGTTTCTACCTGCTGTTCAATATTGCAAGCGTCATGGTTAACCAATCAGGGTGGCTGGAAGAGGTAGAAGGGGACTTCCTGTTATCGTCATTATGAAAATGATATTGATTTGCTGCGATTTTTATTTTTTAACTTTATTCCTGCTGAGCCGTTTCAGCATCTCATAGTTGGACGATGAAAAATATTCGACTGGAGTGGAGTACAGGTTTACTCCTGGATTAGCCCATGAATTATTGCCCATAAATGTTACATGTCCTTAAGAGAGTATTTATTATTTATTGTTCAAAATGAATACTAATCAGTAACATATTTTTCCTTTTTTCTTTGTCTTAAAGCTGAATTTCCTTAATTTGTCCACAAGAGGGCAACCTGAGCACGTGCAAAGAGGGTGGCCAGCTGCCGGGTACTGGCAGTCCCATTTTACAGGCACCACACATCGCCACCTGTGTTTACAGCATTTACAATTTTTTTTTGTTCCCCCAACTTTATTGCCTTCAGCGCAACAGACATGCGGTTAGAGTTACGGTACCAAAAGCCAAATGTGACACTAATGTTTCTTTGTAATATATATTTGATGTCCAGATGTTGCTGTTGTGGAGAGGTTATTTTTCAGGATGTATATTTCATTCATTACCAGCAGCTCATAGTTTAACTGTTGGTGTCGATGATTCAGTCACTGGCTGAAAGTTTAATATATTACATTAGGAAAAATCTAGTGCCTGTGCAATGATAGAAATACTTGAATGTCTGGATTCATAGCAGAAAGGGTTAAGCTCCTCCTGGGTACGAGCTATAGATAAGACACAGAGGTCTACATATGTGTGCTGACTCCATCTGTTCCATAAGGGGTTTTTATTAAGTTTCCATAGTCCTGTGTCAGGGCGGTACAGTGTGTATGGATGTATGGGTGGATCAACGGAGAACCTTAGATGGTGTCCTTGAAGTGAAAATGCTTCTTTTTTTTTTTCTTTCTTTTTGTTTTTATTCCGCTCATCGTTTCTGTGGATTTTATCTTGAATTTCTTTGCATCATGGTAAAAGTGCAATAAAACAAAATCAGCATAATTTGAGTCTTTTTTTCCTCCGTACACACTTCTTCCTGACAGTAACAATGTGTCTTTTTCATTCTCTAAAGCAAAGCAAGCAACGTAATGTGAAATGTCATTAAACAAATCATATGCAAGCACTCTTCCGCCTCTTTTTAGTGAGCCAGATCATTTTGACTCAGCTCAAGAAGAAGAGTGAACCTCCTCATCCGTCTCAGTGCCTCGCAGCTTTCTGAGCTCTCTCTTTTTCTTCTGACCTTCAGTCCTCAGGATAGTTAGGATAGGATATTGGATTAGATTTGGCCCGTTCAACTTTAATGTGGATCCTTTGGTTTTGTGGGAGTAATTTCTGTTCCTTTTCATGTTACACGAAACACATAATGTGCTTCAACAACATTTAAAAATCTTCAGAACTCGTTACAAATGTGCAAATGTTCCTTGGTTGGTACTTTAACTGAAAATGCCCCAAACATTTCCCCAAACTTGTGAAAGTTAGTAAATTTATTTGAAGCCAAGGCAGAAGTGGGTAAATTGCAGTTCCTCTTGATCAGAGATGTAAAACTCATTTTACATCAAGTGCCACAAACACTTAAGTGGGTCAGACCAGTAAAAACACAGTTCTGTGAGTGTAAACAAGTGTAGTTGTATATTTCATCCCTGAAACGTCTCAATATAAAAAAAGAGGTGCAATTTCAGCAGCGCATCTCAGTTTTACTACACAAAAGAAATGCTGCTCTATTTAATGAGTGAAATCTATCAACATGACTCTTTGAGCTTAAATTGTAAAAAACATAAATACATGTGTAAGATTTATTTTACTGTAAACTCAATGTAAAAAAAACGAATTTCCTGTTGTAGAAAGAATGTATATCGTCATACAAATTTTTAAGACGTCCAGTGGGCCAGATTCGAGTCTTGGCTAGGCCGATTCTGGTCCACTGGCCTTATTTTTGACACCCCTGCGCTAGATGCTGCTTGAGGCGAGCTGTAAAAAGTACGGTGGCCCTGAGAGGCCAAACGGACTGCAACTTCAGAAAACACTTGCAAAAAGAAAAAATGCTGCAAAAAGAAAAACACTTGCAAAAAGAAAAATGCTGCAAAAAGAAAAAATGCTGCAAAAAGAAAAACACTTGCAAAAAGAAAAATGCTGCAAAAAGAAAAATGCTGCAAAAAGAAAAACGCTGCAAAAAGAAAAATGCTGCAAAAGCACACAAAGCACAACGGAAATAGGAAAAAAGACAACGGAAATGTTTCTGGGGAGACAATAACCGAACGGACCAGTTGCACGAACCAAAACATGTATGTATGGCTGTATCCCAATTCAGGGACTGTTTCCCAATTCAGGGTCTGCAGCCTTAAAGTACGCAGCCTTAACGGTCCTCAAGGGCCGCACTCAAAGACTGCTGAGGCCGGAAGTGCGAGGCTTGTAGGCTTGTGAAATGGGACGGTCTAGCCTCCGTCGCGCTGCCCAGGTTGCCTAGCAACCATGATACTAACAGCTGGAAACGTTTCATACAGCTTTGTTTGACAGAAATGAAGGAGAACATATTTTGTACATTTGTTTCTACATGAGCTTTGTGTGATTTGATAAGTATCTGAGGCTGAGACCACGGGACTGTAAAACATGATTGTTGGGCTTCATTTTTGTACTGAACAGTCATTTAAGATTAGCTAGTAAATAACAATTAGCTAATCTTGTTCATGAGACTAAAGTCATCTCACTTTGGTAATGTAAATATAATATGGCCAATATTATATTAATCATTATTAGTTATTACAGCAGTGAACATGAACTCTGTGCCAAACACTGAGCTTCAGTAAAGATTCAAGTTGCATTTATTTATATTTCCTATCACCTTAAATCTTCACTTAAACACAAGTATCTGTGACAGTGTATATATAGATGTATTATATATAAGAGACAAATATTGTTCTTTTAATATGTTGGCATTACTAAATTTGGCTCAATGCTTACATATATGTGTAAAAAGAAAATGTACGAGCTGTGAAAACTGTTTCTGATAAAATGAAGAGTAGACTGATATATGAAATATTCCTTTATTGGGTGAGAAAATCAGACCATGTCATAACTGCTTTAAGTCATACAGAATAGATATCAGAGCCTTAAACAGGCTGACTTCTGTTAAATGGGTCAAACTGGGCAGAAAGTCTACAAACACATAACATCCTTATAGAATATGATGTAACACTATAGATCAACTTACCTCAGAATATATAAAGCATATAAACAATTACAGCAATATGATGCAACAAACACAGCAGTGCTACTGATCCAAAATACTCAAAGCTTCATAGAACTAAACGAAATTTATTTTTAGTCTCCATTCTGCTGCTGATACATACTTTAGGTTTCTGAATATTACACTGTGCTGGGTGAAATATTTTTGTCGGGCATAAACGCAGTCTGCGTGGCGCAATAAAACAGGGTGGAG